GTCAGGTGACATGCGTAACAGGTGGCCAAACCATTTTATCTTCTGTCTTTCTATGTAATGCAGGCAGGACTCAGTGCCGATAGCTGCTCTTACGTCTTCATTTCTCTGCCTGTCTCGTCTTGTGATGTTAAGGGTTTTGCAGAGACATTTCATTTCGCATGCGGTGGTTAGGTGCCATACGTGTGAGATGTCCAAACCACCCGATTGTGTATTAAAGGGGGCGTAAAAACACGCATCTATATTCAATACGTTTTTGTCTGTTTCTTTTTTTTTCTTTTTTAAAGTAAGTATTTTACGGCGCTCGCAACTGCATAAGGTCATATGAGCGCACGGGACACACTAAACTTTTTCAGTTGGTAGGAAATTTTGAATTTTGCCTGGGCGACGGCCGAAGCCTACTCTTATCGATTTTGGACCACCAAGGGATCTTTAACGTGCGCAACTTGCAAACGGGCCCTCCGAGATTTTTCGCCCTTGTCCGAGTAGGCTAGGTGTAGATCTTTTCTACGAGAAGATCAGGGGTGTGCCTGAAAGACAGCAGTCAGAAGGAGCCAAAGAGAAGCAGTGGAAAGGCCGCAGAAAGAGCCAGGAGCCCAGAGGAGGGGGCAGAGGAGGTGAGGGGGTGAGGGCAGAAAGTGGAGACAAAAGCAGACGACAGAACATTGCTAGAGAGCAGGAAAGGAGGTGAAAAGAGACAATTTTAGAGAAGAATTTTTTTTTCGGTCGCTACCCTGGTTCGAACCCGGGACCTTTGAATGAGAGACGAACACCTTAACCTCTAGGCCACGAGAGTCCCCTTTGTCTGTTTCTCACTTTTTCTCAGCACTAGACGACGTCATCGTGTCGTTAACGAGCTGCTCTTTGCTGGGACCAACAAAGAAATACAGGCTCATCCAAAAACAAAACAAAACTGCACAACTTTTTTGTTAATATTTTCCTCTACACTGAAATTTTACGTTTCGTTCACAAAATTTGGAAGTCAAAAGGAAAATTGTCTGATATTCATTTTAGATAAATCCACAGAATAGTTTTGCTCTACCTTGCGTGTAAAAAACAACCCGTTTTCAGCCATGTCCCCATGTTGCAGCATGACGCACTAGATCGGATTGGGCATTCCACACAAAAAAATCCCAACGATTGCTCCACATTGCAAACTACAGAAGTCTAACAGACCTACAGAAGTTAGTTTGCAGATAGTTTTTCTCAAGTTTCAAGAATCATATCTGGACCAACTTCCATCATTCTAGATCTAGAGTCGAGTACAAATTTTGTGTGAGATATCTAGAAAAAAAAGTTGTACAGCTTTTTGGGATCATCCTGTATCACTTACTCTACTCCTTTTTCATGTATATATAATATGTGTGTGTGTGTGTGTGTGTGTGTGTGTGTGTGTGTGTGTGTGTGTGTGTGCACACATGCGTGTTTACGTACAAATACACCATGGCACCAGGTTGAATTACGCGCTAGGAGGCGTCGCCAGTAATTGTCAGGAACAGGTATATACAGTATATTATTATACGTAATACGAACACGAACAGCATGTCCTGTTTGGCTTACAATCCCCACCAGCGACCGCTCTAAGCTCAGGGGGCGAATAACCACGCACTTATCAAAAATATCATTGTATTTCATCATTTCCTTTGTTTCCTGTCCCAGTGGACTCACTAGCGTGTTTCCGAGTCGCCATCTGGCCAGGAAGCGAGTAACAGGAGGTCTGATTGCTCGCAAATCTAATTAACACCTAACATTTGGAATTAGCTTATACCTATACACTTCATCAGGTATGCGGTGATAATACCCTATCGAGCTCCAACATTCGTAGGTATTCGAACACTCGATTGAAATCTAACATTCATGGTAACTCGAATACCCGATCGGACTCCCAAAACTTAAAAAAATAATAATAAAAACTCGAAATTTGCTTTTTTTGGTGGGGTGTAGTTGGGTTGTTGTTGTTTTTTTTTGGGGGGGTGTCATGTTATCTTTACAGATGTCGAGGGCCACCTGAAACCAGTATAAATTATTCCCAAGTTTAACCTACTC